TTTTTTTTTTTGGAAAAACAATTTATTTTTTGACAGAGTCCAAGGTGACAAAACGTGAGTGTTGTTGTTTGGTTTGGTTTTGGGTCTCCTAAAGAATACGTGTTAATAACTAACCAGAGGTAACTTTTTTTTAATTTGCATTGTCTTTTTTTGGTTATTATAAATATTTTAATTGAAATCAAAATGTGGAGCAGATCTTGCTGGATAATTACAAGATTTTCATTGATAATATTTTACTTTTCATAATCAATATTAATAATATTAATATTTATTACAAAATGTCAAGGCAGCATTGACTGTTGAAAAAGAAACAATTTGATATGCAATGTTTGATTATCGGAAATTTACAAGTGTTGAAGCATGCATGCACGCTACCTTGAACACACTACAGTCATTCTCACGTATTCCTCATGTTCAAAAGGCTAATCTGACTGCAAGGCCCCCAATGATACAATGATGCTACTGAATTCCAGGGGGGGTGTAAGGCCCTGGAGTTTACCAAGACTGCATCAATTGTCAATGATGCTTTCACTAATCTTCACAGCATCCAGACCAGAGATTGCTGCTGCCGCGCTAGCCAAAAAGTTACCTGCAACAATCCCACCTCTAGGGCAAGGATGGCACTGTGACCAAGTCGTAACTCTGCTGATGAATTGTAGTGCCATGTAAATATCCAGATCCATCAAAGCAACAAGAACCTGCAGCTCGTTCAAGCACAGGAGGTCGCAATTCAGAGCAGGGTTGGTGGCCCTGAAATTGCATTTGGACTCCGATGTTAAGAGGAAAGTTGTAAAATAGTGTTTGTTTTGTATAATCATTTTCCTAAACGCTCTGTTTCTCTGATATTAACTAACCAATTTATGATTTTGGATAGGGGACTGGATGGGTTTTTGCCCAATCAGTTCTCTGTCCTATAGGTTAAAATTTTCGCATGATTATATACATCCTTGTTGGCAATATGGCCAACAAGAAAAAGCCATAAAAATGGTTCAGATTTTGTTTGGTATGTTTTGTATAAATTAATCATTTTCATAAATTTTCTGTTTCTGCTTTTCTTTAATTTTTATTTGACCAACTGAACTTGTTATTTTAGTAAATGGGGTAGGGTTGTTGGTGAGTAGGCATGCCACTGACAAGACAGGGGATGCCTTTGGGATATACCAGCCAAACTCATA